CTAGTCCCCCGAACTGCACAGGCTACAGTGGCCCAGAAGCCTTTCACTCTGCACCTTTCTCACTGCTCCCAGGCCCGTCACAGCAGCTAACCTCTCTCCTGCTGCCCTCCGTCCAGTTGAGTGCTCTCAGCCCTTTCCAGGCCTCACCTAACGCCTTTCCATCTGGGTCTCATAGTCAAACAGGGCTGGCTAGCCCCAGGCTCCAAGGCCCTTAAAGGCAGACCGCCCTGTTACAGAGGCACTCCCCTAATGTTGAAAAACCTGGATTCGTTTTAATCTGTATCTCCCAGTACTGACTATTTTGGGGGATGGGTGGTTGCAATGGTGGATTCTGCAAAGCTTGTCATGTGTGATTGACTCAGTCTCACTGTGGCAAAGTGACAGCACTCATTGACCTGGTAGGTCTCTCGACCTCTCTAACAGGTCTTTCCATCTTGCACTACTATGATTCTATATAAACAAAAGTTGTATGAACTCAACAGGGCTTTGAAACTGTAAATGTCAAGACTGAGCCCTATCCAAAGCCCATTGAAATCAATGGAAATATTCACATTGTCTTCAGTGGGTTTTACATCAGGCTCTACAAGAACTCTTAAAATTTTTAATCTGGCCTACTTCTTGACTTATTTTGTCAGTAAAAATGTAGATTGTTGACAGTCACGTCCTTCAGGTAGTGACATCCTCTGGACACTGGACAGCAGCTCGTCCCATCATGCCAGGAATTACTGCCTGGAAAAGGAAAGGAGGACTTGTGGCACCTTAGAGACTAACAAATTTATTTGAGCATAAGCTTTCGTGAGCTACAGCTCACTTCATCGGATGCATTCAGTGGAAAATACAATGGGGAGATTTATATACACAGAGAACATGAAACAATGGGTGTTACCATACACACAGTAAAGAGAGGGATCACTTAAGGTGAGCTATTACCAGCAGGAGAGCGGGGGTGGGGTGGGGGAGCTTTTGTAGTAATAATCAAGGTGGGCCATTTCCAGCAGTTGACAAGAACGTCTGAGGAACAGTGGGAGTGGGGGGTGGGCGATAAACATGGGGAAATAGTTTTACTTTGTGTAATGACCCATCCACTCCCAGTCTCTATTCAAGCCTAAGTTAATTGTATCCAGTTTGCAAATTACTTCCAATTCAGCAGTCTCTCGTTGGAGTCTGTTTTTAAAGGTTTTTGTTGAAGAATTGCCACTTTTAGGTGTGTAATCGAGTGACCAGAGAGATTGAAGCATTCTCCGACTGGTTTTTGAATGTTATAATTCTTGACGTCTGATTTGTGTCCATTTAAACTGGACAGTCTCTACGTAAAAGAATAAATGGACACAAATCAGATGTCTACTCCCCCCCCCACCCCCCCGCTATCCTGCTGGTAATAGCTCACCTTAAGTGATCCCTCTCTTTACCCTGTGTATGGTAACACCCATTGTTTCATGTTCTCTGTGTATATAAATCTCCTCACTGTACTTTCCACTGAATGCATCCGATGAAGTGAGCTGTAGCTCATGAAAGCTTATGCTCAAATAAATGTTAGTCTCTAAGGTGCCACAAGTCCTCCTTTTCTTTTTGCGAATACAGACTAACACAGCTGCTACTCTGAAACCTACCTGGAAAAGGTTGTAATCCCTGGATCAATGTCAAGTTTTTCTTTTGCTTTGAATCCACAGACCAGGGTATTATTTTTAGGGGAAGTACTTACCAGGGTAAATGTCTTTCATCATGTTCACACTGGGCTGGGCTTTGTAGGCGATGGAAATCCCAACTCATAACTAGAACTGGATATTGCAAATTGTCCTCATCTTTACAATGGTGGACCAAAGCCCCTGGATCTTTGCCTGTCTGAAGCCTGGGATATTCAAAAGCCAGATCTGAGTTTTGCAGCTGGAGCCCATAGCAGGATGGTTTGGCACAGCTCTTGTTTCTCTTCTAGGGAACACAGTCTGAAATAACACTCGAACCTCCCTGTTGTCTTGACGATCCTTTATCTCCTCAGCAGCTAGTCAGCATTTTGGATTCCCCAGGCTTCTAAAACCTGCTGAATTTGCAAAGATTGTGGTGTATTGCAGCCTGCAGAATGCAAGGCCTTCCCGACTCCTTGGGGAGAAAGTTTGTTTCGGGCCTCATCAGAGGCACAACCAGAATTTTCCTAAGGAGGGGACCCAGGAGGTGCTGATTTTGGAGGGGGAGGGATCTCCCTAGAGCTAAGCATGTGATGTGGGGGTAGGTAGGTGGGGCTTCTCCTTCTAGGGACCATCCATCTCCTGGAGCCCCATCAGCCCCAGGCTCCTCCCACCTTTCCAAGCCCAGGGTTCCCACCTTGGAACTGGGGTCCCTATGCTGGGTGAGTGGCCTGTACCACCCCAGCACCTCTGCATTGTGGACTTGGCCACCCCAGCAGCCGCAGAGGAATCTTAGCAGCCTGGCCTCTCTCAGCAACTCCAGGGTGGGGTGGCGCTGCTGTGGGCAGGGCCCAAAGTACACAATCCCGCACACAATGCCTGTGCCACAGAGGTGCCCAGCCATGGGAGGGAGCGGGGGCTGCCGGGGATGTGTATGTTCTTTGCAGACCCCTCTGGGGTGCAGCTCTGTGAGTTTTGAGTCCCAGGCAGACCCATCACACCCTCTGCCCCTAACCCTGATTGGAGTCTATGGCCAAGGGGGGAAGAGCCTGGGCACTCTCCCTCATTTTGCCCCTGGCCTAGTGCGATGACATTTCAGTGAAAAAGACACTATATACGTCTGCCTGTCTGCAGGGGCTTCCCAGACTCCAGCGAACCTTACACTGTGAAAATCGATTTTTAAAAGGTTTTCAGCCCTCTAACGGGGTGCCCGCCCCGCTCCTCGCAGACTCAGGGACGCTCCAAGCGGGCAAAACTCCCGTGCTCTTTATTTGTGTCCGTTTCCCACCACCAGTTTCCTGCTATATACAGGCTACTTACAATGGCTTGGCCTAACACAGGCCTGGTCAGCAACAGCGTAGCAGGCTCCTACCTCTCCCTGAGCCTCCTGGTCTCCACCCTCCTTGTCACTCACTGCCTGCCAGCCTTATAGCTCCTGCCTAATGAGGCTGGCAGATGCAGTCAGTGATTAGGTAAACGTAGGCTATTTACCCAGCCCCAACCCATTTCCCCTGATTGGGGCTGGGGTGGCAGGAGCTGACTGAGGCTCCCCGAGCAGTGCCCTGCCACAAGCCCTAGCTGGGCTCTTTGGAAGAGCGGATGGCAAATAGCCACGTGACTGCTGGAGCTGCCAACAGGGGGTCAGTGGCGGGGAGGGGGACACACGGGAGAGGCAGGGTAAGAGACATTTGATTGACTGCCACCCGTGCTGTACCGAACACCTCAGTTCAGAGCCAGGCGCTGTGTGTTTTCACAGCACCTAATGCTGTGGGGGACTTGATCCTGACTGGGGCCTTTGGCGCTTACTGCCGTAGAAATAAATGCTGGTAACGAGCCCCATCCTTGCTGCAAGGGCTCGGTGATGTGTCATCTCTGTTCTCGATCACGGATCGCCAACCCCATCCTCACCGCAAATACTTCCCTCTCCACTGATTGCCATCGGGCACTGGCAAGCCTCTTTCTTTCAGTGTCTGAAGAGATACCTGACTCGATTGCTGCCATGAACCAAACAGCTTCGTTCCACCAGAATCCCCCTGCAACCAGGCACCCACGTTTCATATATCCACTATACCCAGCAGTGGCCCACCTTGTCGCCTATAGGGGACTGTCCTTTAGACACGTATTTTTCTCTTTGTATAAATGCCTCATCCTCTCCATTTCCATCTCATCTTTCATTCCTGCACACTCCAGGCTCCTATCCCTCACCCCATGACAAATCTCCCACACGCACACTCTGCCTGACTCTTCCTTTGTCAACAACCCCATCTCCAACTTCCTTTCCTCAGCAAGATGCTGGAGCTGGTGGTGACCTTCTTTCCCACCTCACCGCTTTGGGTCAGCCTTTTGCCCTTATACACCCTGTCCCATTCTGGGGGGCAAGGGACAATGGCCTTCTTCTCTTGGCTCACAGATCTCTCTGTTCTCTTCCTAATGGGCTGTAATTTGGCTTCCGTTACCGTCGCTAACTCTGGGCTGCTCGAGCACCTCACACCTGATCTTGGCTCTCCAGCACTGGCTGCTCCTGGTGGTGTTGCTGGAGGTGGAATTACAGCTTCTCCTCATCCTTTCTGCTGTGGAGCCTCCCAAGGGCCAGTCTTTCCGTCTTCTCTACCACATCTTCTCTTCAGCCTATCATTGTCACAGACAATAAAGCCCATTCCCCACCCTCTTCTCCATTCCTACCTTCTCTTAGTCCCCCTTCCTGTCTCCCCCATCCCTGCCCCCCATCTTTGCCCTCACTGTACCTGGCCTGCATGGCTGCCTATGTGCATTGTTACCATTTCTCTTTTCTCCTCACTTCTCCATTTCTCTTTCATGCCAATCTATTCTTTGTCTTACACTTGCTCTCTTTTGCTCCATTCACCCTCCTTTCCACCTCTTGCTTTAAATCGTTTTGTGAGAATTTACTGGGAGGGACCGACACAAAAATGAATGCCTTTGTATTGTAGCCTGCTCAGTTGAGAAATGGTCCCCTTCAGTTTCCAGAGCTTGTCTGACTGGCCGTGTTTGTGAATGCTAAATTCACCTAATGACATACCTCCCATGGGATGCCCTTGGTCCAATAAAAGCTATTACCTCACCCACCTTGTATCTCTAGCCTAGGGACGAATTCTGCTAGCTGTTTGTTTGAAAACTCATTGTGGGGAGACCATCTCTTTATTCTCCCTGCAGAAGGTCCTGCATGCCTACAGTGGATGCTGCTAAGATGTCAGCATTTCCCAGTGCTTGCCACACAGTGGGTAGCTGAGCTTATCATGGTTTCCCCCTGTATTTAGGGAGGCTCCATGTTATCTCTGTAGCAAAGACTGGCAAATATGGGCTTTTTAGTGGCTTCCACAGTATAGATTGATTAAACAAATGATAAATCAGAGCAGGTAACAATTGTAATAAGGACAATAATGCCTCATCTTTATTTTTTCAAATCCTCTGAATGAAATGTTGACCTCAATTTGGCATGTGAAAGCAGACAACAAAGGCCACTGGATAAGGTCTCGTGTGAATCATGGAAAGAAATAAAGAGATTTTTATTGACCAGGAATGGCAATAAACAAACAAGGAGGAGGTAAATTTCACAGTGTGTATTACAGGTTAACAGAGAAGGAGAGGAGAAGATTAACAGAGTCTTTCATTTTCTTTTTTTATTATGTATATTTTCATTAGAAAACAACCTTAAACACCTAAGAATAGTTTTCTAATAAACATCAGCTCATGAAGAGCACTTAGAAGTTTCCATTTGGGATTCAGGAGAATGACAGGACAGTAACACAGTCAGCATGGTCATTCCTTAGAGCAAATCCCTCCCTCTTGACTGAGTTTTAAGCCTAACATTGCAGCCTGCAGTTCCTCCTTGGTTCCTGCTAAAAATCAGGGTTCCCAAACACACAGAAGTCTCCATAGAGAGTTTCTAATGAAGTGTTTTCATATGGGCATGCAGTTTTACTTTCATCACTTTGTGGATATCACGATTCATACAGGGCCTTATCAATGGGCTTCAGTGATTCATAAGGGGACATGTCACCCCCAGGACAGAACCCTCTTCAGTAGAGGATCAGATTGCAGCCCTCCTAAGGGCCTTCAAAGGGACTAAAATGTGATTCAGAGCAGGTGCAGAATTAGCCTATTTGTTGTAAGTATACATGAATGGGGCAGTTGCGGGGGGAAGAGGGGGAAGGCAATGTCTTTTGCTTTCCCCCCTCTGGCTGCTCCCTTTCTTCCCTCCTCCTTAACTGGGAAAGGATGAAAGTCCTGAACTGGGTCAGTGTATAGCAATGTGCCTGCCCCTTAGGCGGTGACTTCACTGCAATAAAAAGGGGAGGCTTTTACCTCAGGGTACAGGTGTAAGCTATCCCGAGGAGTAAACACAGTGAAGACAAAGCACTTTACTGTGAGGTAAACTACCTCATGATAAAACTAAAGTGCCTTCTCTTCACTGTGTTTTTTTACCTCAGGTAGCTTATGTGCATTACCCTGAGGTACCCCCCTCCCCATTTATAGCAGTGACGACAAAGCCTCAGAGTGAAGCTGTTCCAAAGCCAGGCCCTGCCAGAGCGAGGTTCTGTTGGACACACCAGTTTAAGGGAAGTGGAGAGATGTTTGTGTCTCCATCCAGGAGAAGGAGGGCTCTCCATACCTCTTGTATCAAAGAGCTACTTTGCCATTCAGTGTCACTGATCCTCACGTTGGAGGGGCCAGTGAGGATGAGGATGTGGTGGGTGAGAGGAAGGAAGGACTAAAAACTTGTAGGATCCAGGGCAAAATTCTCCAACCACAGGTGCAGAGAAACTCCAAATTTCTCTCACGAGATCAAAGGCACAGGCAGTTGTAGGGCAGCTGGAGTTGTGCACACCACTCTTGTTCAGGTGAAAGCTGACTCTTGAGAGCGGAGCTGGGGTAAGGAGATTTGGCGGGCTATGTAGCTATCATCTTGTGTAGGTAGGAGAGGAGAAATCAGAGCCACCAGAACAGGCAACAGAAAATTTACAGGGGAAAAATGAAAGGCTGGGTAGTCAAGGGACTGCTGTGCTGAATGGAACTGCTCCTCTTAGAGGTAGCTCTGCAAGTGTCTTTGACCACAAAAAGGGTGGATCACATAGAGGTTGTATCCACGTTCCTGGCCCCTAAAGGCCTATGATGCCTTTGATAAAGATTGGTGCCAGGCACATGCTGTTTGTGGGGATGAATACACTCTCCCATCAGTAGAGCTTTAAGGATCTCTGACAGCACCCGTTATTGCAGCTGGGTGACACCTGGTTTTTGTAGTTACCAGTGCCCCTCTGGTGCCTGCATAAAAATATTTACTTGACTTTCATGATACTTTTGAACCACCTTGACATCACTGCACTGGATGCTGATGTGACATCATCACAAATGATGTTTTGATATCACCACCCTCCTGTGATGGCACAAGGTGAAAGGTGCACTTGCTGGTTTATAAAGCCAGCGAGCGGTGAAAGCAGCTGCCGTCATCATGGGTGAAAACACCTCGGATAGACACAGGAACACCATTGCTGGCTTTGACCACCACTCAGAGGAATTGTCTGGTCACTTGGTGGAAATCTGAGCTCTAGGAAGGCTCTGTGGCTTTGGAGGCCACCGTTGGTCAAAGACTGGGCACTGGGCAGGCAGCAAAATAAAAATAGTGTCCTTGTTTTGTTCTATACAGAAGGCCTTGGTGTGTAGCAGTAACAAAATGTAGTGAACAGTCTCTCCTTACTCCTTGGCTCCTTTTTTGTTTGTTTATTCAGTTCTCTATATTCTGAATAACATCATCTTTCTCCAGAACACTTTGAAAAGCAGGTTGTTTATAGGTAGGTAGTAAACAAGCTGAAAACAACACTCTCAATGTGGCCTAGAAAAGAATCTCCCTTATTCTTTCCCCATGTTCAAGGACCCCCACCTCTTGTCAATAAACTTGTGACTTGTATGGTTCCAGGCGTTTGTGCTTTCATATCTTTGTGCTTGCTTGAGTATGGCTCAAATAATTTCAAGGGGCCTTTCGTCTATGATCCACTGCACTTCAAGACCCAAGTATCTCTCTCTCTGTCTCACACACACATTGACTGAACATTTAATCAATGATTGGCCAAGAATCCCATGCAAGGATTTCTTTTCTCCTTCTTCTGCCTACCTAGAGTAAGGTCCTGCATTGTTCTATCTACCTAATTAACTTCTGTCAAGACTTTTTTTTTTTTTAGGTTCAATAAACTAAACATTCTTTCACGGTTGTTTTTCCCCCCTCTCAAGAAGAGTAATAGTTTTGTAAACTTGTAATTCCGGTTCTGGAAGAAGAAACTTCATTCTCTCTTCAAAGAAGAAATTCACCCACTGACCTGGAGGTAAGTTGAATAATAAACCAAGATATTTTTGACGTTTTTGTTAACAGTGCAGAAACTTCATGGTCTTTTCTACTTGTATACAGTGTGATAGATGTCAGATCAGACACTGTTCCATCAACTACACTCACAGCACTGGAGGGAATGCTCTGGAAGCCATCAAATGGTTACTGTTGTAAAGGAAACCATTGCTTTATTCAGTATATCTCCCTTCAGCGTTGAAGTGGAGGTAAATGGTCAATACAGTAGGTTCCTGCACTAGTTGTTTATCTCTGGATTCTAATGTGAGTGCTTTTGGTCACAAGTGCTGGTTTCAAAACACTACAGATATTTATCCATGTTGCAAAATCATCCTATAGTTTATGTTGTAGGTATCTCTACTCATGAGAAGCCACAGTCTGGGCAGGCAGGGTTTTGCCACATGCCAAGAGAGGGAGTAGAATAGCAGGGAGTGCGTCATGAGTGGGGTTCATTGGTACTGGGGGTTAGGGTCCCCTGGCACTAACCATTAGGGCATATGCACTGCTGGCCCCAAGGGCTCAGTCCACCGGAATATTCCAGTGTTTTACATTGATTTTCCCTCACTGTGCGTAGCTGACAAATGCTAACAGGAACTGCTGGTAACATGCTGGCATTGTAATGAAATGGGAAGAGGAATTAGCTGGCTGACTGGCCTTGTGCTCTCAGCTGCAATGCAGGAGTCCTGGGTTTGACTGCTGGTCCCACCTCTCTGGATCCATGGGGTGACAGTGCTATGGAGGCAGCTTGCTTATATCCTGAGTGAAGGTGAGCTACCTCCTTGAATACTTTGTCCGCTGAGTCAGAGATGCTGCATTACGGCGTTGTGCTCTCGGTGTCGCTCACCCTGTGGTGAGCTACTCAATGCCCTACAAGACATGTGGCACGTCCACTGGAAAAAAATCAGGCCTCTCCCTTGACAAGAGGGACCGCTGGCAACCGTACGCAGACAGCAGCCCTCAGGATGGTCTCCAGCCGATGGCTTTCTCAGCCGGAAGGAGGTTGGCTGTGATATGGGGCCTACTGGAGGAACTGGGGTTTGAAGGAATCCTCAGGGATCTGGCAAGTCTGAGGAGGTTTGTTCCTGTTTCCCTGAGTGAAAATACAGTTAGTAAAGCCAGGAAACGTATTAACTACTATTTCTTCCCCGTAGAAAAGATTGGCATCAGTGTCCCTGATCCAGAATAATGCCAGAAGCACGCATCTCTTGGGACATTTGTGGCAACAGTGATGTGCTCTTCCTCAGGGCCTGGCCACAGGAGCAGGATGATACCGGTGCATCTTCAAGGCCCACCATAGAAAAGCACAGGCCTAGCGTTATTAAAGCAAGGCAAAAGGGAAATTCAGACATGTGTTTTGAGAGCCAGCCCACCAGTGCTGACATTTGAAGCGGGGAATGGAGTGTTTTATTGGCTTTCTGGGCTTCCCGACCAACTGGTCCTGTGGGAGCTGATTGGCAGCAGGAAACTATGAGTTTCAAAGTGAATATATATTGAAAAAACAAAACACAGCAAGGGCTGTGAGTCCTGACCAGAGGGGCGTCAGAAGAAGTGGAAGCCTGGACCACGTAGACCCCCTACTACAGTCTAAGTGTGTGCTTGTGCTCTGATGGGGGAGGTGGGAGGAATGGGCTTGAGGGTGGGTGTTTGGTGGAGAGACTGGAAGAGCAATGAAGGCTTGTGGCCACCACCGAAATTTTGGGCAAAGAGGATAGAATTGAGAGAAGTCACACAGAGCAAAACCTCTCCAAAAAGGCAGTAAGTGACCCATCAAAGCTGACAGAAAATCAGGAACAAAATGTAACAAAATGTGAGTAATTTAGCAGGACCACGAATCATTTCAGACCCCTCATCTCTCCATCAGCCACCTCTGACTGTTTCACCGTGCCATGAAGCACAAGAGCACAGGAATGCCCGATGGCGGTTTTGCCCCTACCCGCCCTCCCCCAAAACAGCTGTTGAGTTCTTTGCAAACAGCATGATCTGAGGGAAGCAGGGCTCACTGCTTTGTAAGAATGGCATTAAAAATACAAACAAGAACTCTTTGACAACGAGGCAAAGTGAAGAGTACTTGAAAGAGAAGGCAAGATGAGCAGTGACGTGTGGGTGGGGTGATGCCAGGGAAGGGATGCCTTCCATAGAACGGCTTTGTTTAGCTCCGTCATCTTGTCCTTCTGCCCTCTGCAAACCCCCGCCAGTCCACGGTGTGGTTTGCATGTCTCCATTTTTGCACTTTTTATTGTCCTGCATAGGAGCAGAAATGAGGGGACGGGGGAGGAGAGAAGAGCGCATTCTGCCATGGAACATAGATGCTCATTGCTATTCCTGCCATCTTCAGAGCCGCTCCAAAAAATAATAAAAAAACCCCAAAACGTGCACACATCGCTCTCAGACCAGCAGCCTAGATGTTCGTAAAACTCAGAAGCACTTTGCTCAGGAATAAACTGCTCTGAAAACAGAGGTTCCAATTACACCTGTCTTCTAGGAGATTGTGCTGATGGAATGAAAGCGAAGATCCTGAGCACTAGTTCAAACAGGAATTATTTTGGGGCAGTTCTCTGGCCTGTGTGATACAGGAGGGCAGACTAGATTATCACAGTGGTCCCTTCTGGCCTTGGGAATCTATGCTTAAGAAAGCGTTATAATTAGTTTCCAACTTCCTTTAGCTAACGTCTTATCTACCTAGGTACTTAAGTGCTCCTTGTCACCATAGTATCTGATGCCCAGTCATTGATGAACTTGGCAAGACTGCGTGTTCTGTTCATTTGGTTTGGCTATTAAATAGCTGAAATAGGTCTTTGATTCTTAAACCATTGTGGAAGGGCTCAGAAGGTCACCGTCTCTGAAACTGGGCTCCGAAGCCAAATGAAAGGGTTTTCCACTCATGAGGGATGCTTCAGCCACTGAACAGCCCAGACCCAGACAGGCCAGTTGCAACTGGAACATATGTTTCTAAGCACATTGCATGGAGAACACGTGTATAGAAAAATGTTGTAACAAACCCATGGCCAAGTAGGACCATGTAGTTGTCACTATGCTGCACGTTAGAGCCACTCAGAACGTCATACGAAAGTGGCAGCACCCTACCACTTCAGCAAAAGGGGACTCTCTGGTAACAGTGTAGGGGCTATGATACACCGAGCTGAGCAGTTTGACGTTTGTCCAGCAAAGGGCAGTGGGTGCTCATTCCTGCTAACCAGCTCATTGCTATCTATTTTACACACACTACCTTATCATGTCAATGGGCTTTGCAAACATTGAATCTCACAACACCCCTGTGAGGTAGGTAAGTATTATCATCCCCATTTTGCAGATGGGGAACTGAGCCGGAAAGATTAAGGGACTTGCCCAAGGCTACAGAGAGAGTTGGTGGCAGAGCTGGAGTGAGATGACTCCATCCTGTGCTCAGCCCACCAGGCCATGCCTCCCTTTCATGGTGAGATGTGCTTCTGACCTTATAAACTCCCAACCTGCTAACCCCAGTGAAAGGAATTTGGTTTTCCTTATCCCATAATGGGAGTTGGAGGGGGATCAGATGACACTATTTACTGTTACGTCTGACAGCCCCCACCCCTGTCAGAGCATCACAAGTGGCCATCTCTTGTGACAAGAACACTGCCCTTTGGAAAAGCCCCTGGGGCACGAAGAGGCTGCTGTGTTCCCTTGCGTTAACCAGACTTTGCTAGACTTTACCACAGGAGCAGCCCCGTAAGAGACATGCTCCCAACAGCACCTTTCAGAGGTCATCAAAACAGCCCCGACCCCAACCAAAAGCACTCTTTGGTAGACAGTGAGATAGGTCAGCTATACAGACACTGGCCTCCCAGAAATCATGTTTGTTTGCATGGCTCCTCATTTCATCAGCTGTCTTGGGATTAAATCTTATCTCAGGGCAGAACTCAACTCGGCTGGAGTTTCAGAACCCACATGTCATCTGCCATAAAGACACCTGTTCCGTTGCATTCTGATATTCAAAGGGACACTGTCAAGTAATGGAGGCCCAGAAATCTGACCTTCCTTAAAATGCTTATCCCTTCTGAGAGCTAAATTGCTTTCAGGCCGGCAATTTCAAACCCGGGCGCCCAAAGTCAAACCCGGGCAACAAAAATGATTAGGGGTCTGGAACACATGACTTATGAGGAGAGACTGAGGGAACTGGGATTGTTTAGTCTGCGGAAGAGAAGAATGAGGGGGGATTTGATAGCTGCTTTCAACTACCTGAGAGGTGATTCCAGAGAGGATGATTCTAGACTATTCTCGGTGGTGGAAGAGGACAGGACAAGGAGTAATGGTCTCAAGTTGCAGTGGGGGAGGTTTAGGTTGGATATTAGGAAAAACTTTTTCACTAGGAGGGTGGTGAAACACTGGAATGCGTTGCCTAGGGAGGTGGTGGAATCTCCTTCCTTAGAAGTTTTTAAGGTCAGGCTTGACAAAGCCCTGGCTGGGATGATTTAATTGGGGATGGGTCCTGCTTTTGAGCAGGGGGTTGGACTAGATGACCTCCTGAGGTCCCTTCCAACCCTGATATTCTATGATTCTATGAAAGTCCATCAGCTAAATCCATATGTAGGGGCGTGAATCAACTCCCATGGCTCCAACAGAAGCTGCAAGAGGCGCTCAGATACCATTGTGAAGGGTGGTAATAGAAACCCCTAAGGCAGGAGACCCCCCAGCACAGCTGGAAAGCAGGCTGCTTTCGTTCATCTGCTTACATATGGGTTTTGGCGGCTAACTCCAGGCACCGGGTTTGACCATGGTGGCGTTGGTTATTTTTGATTTGCTGTGGCATTGCTCCAAAACCAGTTAAGGCTCTGCATTGGGACGGTTTCTGCTCTTCGGCTACGCTAACAAAACAGCTTTGTTCTCCAGGGCCGTGGTGCAGCACCGTCAGCAATGCTGGGGCACATGAAAGTAAACGGCGCAGCCATGTTTGACTTCTGGCTGCAGTAGACGGTCGGGAGGAGAGGGGCAGGGCGGGGTGAGGGCACAGCGGGGCAAGGCCCTGGCCAGGGGAGAACAGTGTGTGCCAAATGGAAAAGGACAAAAATCAATAGGGAAAGAATTTTTATTTTCAAGTTTTTAAGAGAATCTGACAAATGATGGAGAGTAAAAAAAAAAAAAAAAAAAAGCCCCTAAAAACTATTTAAAAAGTACTTGACAGTGTCCCTTTAATACCCACAAATGATTCAGCCATTGTGCATTGAAAGAGGATGTTCCTGAAGAGCAATTGATACTTTCGTGGATAGCTCCTAAAGGAGACTTATTAAAAGCATAATATATTCACTCAGGGACTGTGCTCCCTCTTCAGACTAAGTCTTTGTTAGCTCATCATTTAGTCTTTTCCACACAGTCATTCAGCAGACTGGATATCAAGGGCTTAACCTATAAGATTGAGTGAAGTGAGACTCTCTTGCAAGTTGAGCAGCAGGGATATACAGATAAAAAAACCCTCTTATGAGAGTCTGAATCACAGATGCAGGAGAAAGCTGTGGAGATGGGACTGGCCTAATGTAATCAATCAGGGGTGATGGGGTATGAGAGGAAATTAACCCGGAGCAGCCTCCTTTCTCAAAGTCTGCCTGGAGGATGGTTTTTGTGAGCGGGAAGGTTTGAATGTGGGATCTGGGGTCATCATACCAGTGCTTGTGCTTCAAACACCCACCACGCATCTGTACAAACTTCGCCAAAAAATGTCTGTCAAACCCGCTCCCAACGCCATTCTCCGAACCCCTTGCTGATTTTTGTTTTGGTGAAATATGGATGGATTTTTTTTTTAATATTAAAACTGAAAAATCCCCAGCCATTTCAGTGGAAATACTCTTTCGCGAGTAATACAGGGCTCCGGAATGATTTATGAAACAAAACGATGACTCAGATCCCTGCTTAATACAATCTGAAAACTCCTCCAAATACATCGCTTCCGTCATTCCCCTTCTGTTTGTTATCATCCCACACTGTGTGTCTGTGTGCGTGTGGGGCGTGTGTGAGTGTGTGCAGAACATTACCCATCCCAGCTAATAAAACTTGTAAGACATGCTAATACCGGCTCTTCCTCGGCTTCCCCAAACTTCTGCCTAGTTAGCTGTTAGTCCGTATTGCACTTGTTTTGTTATTTTTTTAAAAAATAATATTGACTGGCTGGAAAACGTTAACCTCTTTAGCATGAGTGTGCAGCTCTGCCTCCATCTTCTTCTTCCTCAGTTGGCCAAGTGCTGCTTACACCTTGTGCAGCTACCCAGAAAATTAAAGGCACACCATGCTTCTCTGCTCTTGAGTTCTTTGTCTCCTCCACTTCGCGTTAAGGCCTCCTGAATTCCGTTGCTCAGACTGTTGTGACCCTCATGACGAGCTCTCTGTTCGTGCTAGACTGGCTTCTCTGTTCGTGAGGCCTCAGCTGGCTGAGTATATGCAAGATGGTGTAAGCACAGTGGTGGTCAGACAGGGTGCCGTTGGCGTGGCTAGTGCCCCGGACCCCATTGTCGGCTGGAGCGGAGTTGCTGGCTGTACCACCAGTGGAGGATGAATGGTTGGTTTGGGAGGAGGTTCGGAGGTTTGTCCTGGTCCCTGTTTTTTGGTCCTCCATGTCTTTTGTTTTGTCATAGTTCAGCACTTTCCACTGCTGATTTACCGCCTGCCACCGTTTGAAAATCCGGTAAACCGAGGGCCCTTCGTGTATTATTAGACCTGAAGGGAAGGCAAAAAAACAAGAGGAACTTTAGAGAGAAGCTGTAAACACAGCTCAGCATCACTCCCTCTAGCTGCCTGCTTAGTGGCCCATAAACACAGCTCTCTTGGTCAGCGTGCATTCTACGATAAAGCAAGGTTTTTAATTACTGACTGGCAGAGCACAAGTCCTTGTGCTCAGCCGGACCGCCTTCCACCTGGATTAAACAGATCACAGTTTGATCTCAGCAGTCAGCAAACCCATCTTACATGCAGCAGGATGGCTTATTCTATACAGCACCACAATATCCCTTTACCAATGCACCTCTTGGTTTGATCCGCCATACATGCTGTAGGTCATGACTCAGCTGAAAATGTGTGCATGGGGGGTATACCTGGAATCTATGTGCTGTTGGCAGCCATTGGGCTAACATCACATGAACATGTAAATCAAATCTAACTGCATGCATAGCAGCAGCAGGGCAGTGGTTGTCTAGTGCCTGGAGCACAGGGTCTGGGAATCAAGACACCACAGTTCTATTCCTGACTGTCACTGACTTGCTGTGTGATCCCAGGAGAAGGACTTAACTTCTGTGTCTTGGCTATATCATCTACAAAATGAAGATATATGATACGTACTCATCTTTGGAGAGTGCTTTGATATTGTTGGATGAAAAACCATGCAAATTATTCATCATAGCATTTTCACTAATACTGTGTCTGGGACAGGGTGTGTGTGTGTTTTTCTGGAATCTGTCTACCTGCACACATTGTATTTTCTGGATCCACCAGACAAACATCACACATGGTTATAACAGAAGTGTTGTCTAGTGGTTAGAGCAGTGGACTGTGACTAGAACTCCTGATATCTAATCCTGTCTACTCATTCCTAAGACATTGGATAGGTCAGTTCCCCTCTCTGTGCATCAGTTATGAGGTCTGTCAAATCAGGATAGTAAAAATACTCAACTCCCTTGCAGGGGGATTGTGATAATTAATTACTTAATCTCCATAAATCATCTGGAAGATAAAATATGCAACCTACATGCTAAGTAAGTAGTAGTAATATTCTAAATACAGGACTCTACCCAGCTGCTCTGATACCGTAGAAAATGGCACCGTATAAATGCCTTGCTAGCTAGCTTAACCAGATATAGATAGATTCCCCACACACTGGACTAGCATATCCTACTGACCTGGGGATAGAAACCATGACACCGCAAACGTGCGGGCTTAGCTGACATATTGTAACATTATTCAATAAATCAAATTTCAATCTTGGTCTGAAACACTTAATTTAAAGTAGGATGTTATACAGAAGTAATTCATATCAACCTCCAGATCAGACGTTGTTGGATGGTTCGGTGTACAGTGGTTCACCCATTACAAAAGCACAATAGCTTCCAGGCTACTGCAAGTATTCCAACAGACAGATAAACACTGAGTCAGGCCAGAGCCTGGGTTGTTTGTTTTCTCTTGGTACTGTTGGTTCACTCTGTCTGGGCCACGATCAAGATCAGATCAGGATGAGAGAAGCTTCCAGGTAGAGATGCCCCATTCACCAGCCTGTGAACTTTCATGAGCATAAATGCAACAGCAGAGAATGAAAGACTCATAGAATCATAGGACTGGAAGGGACCTCGAGAGGTCATCTAGTTCAGACCCCTGCACTCATGGCAGGACTAAGTATTATCTGACCATCCCTGACAGGTATTTGTCTAACCTGCTCTTAAAAATTTCCAATGATGGAGATTCCACAACCTCCCTCCGCAATATATTCCAGGGCTTAACCATTCTGACAGGAAGTTTTTCCTAATGTCCAACCTAAACTTCCCTTGTTGCAATTTAAGCCCATTGCTTCTTGTCCTATCCTCAGAGGTTGAGAAGAACAATTTTTCTTCCTCCTCCTTGTAGCAATCTTTTATGTACTTGAAAACTGTTCTCATGTCCCCGCTCCGTCTTCTCTTCTCCTGACTAAACAAACCCAATTTTTTCAATCTTCCCTCAGAGGCCATGTTCTCCAGACCTTTAATCATTTTTGTTGCTCTTCTCTGGACTTTCTCCAATTTGTCCACATCTTTCCTGAACTGTGGAATGAGAGTCAAAGTCAAGTTCTGCCAAAGCCTGGAACTTGACCTCGCCACTTGCATTTCACAGTGGGTTTGTAGCCATGAGTGCTAATTAAAATGACTTCAGTATGAGTGCCAAGCACGCCATTGCAGAAGTCCTTATAAGTACAAGTGTGCCGTGGAAATAGCATTTATGTATTTATAAGTAAAAGTAGAAGTGCAAGTACTTCCCACTCCTGTATGATAAGAATGAGCTTATCTGTTATAAGAATTTGCTTATCTGTTTTTTTCTTTGGACACTGACCCGTCACAGAGTTGTTGCTGCAGAAAAGTATCCAAACGGGGGGCCTTGTACTTTGGGGTTTCCCCAGACACTACGAACAAGTCTCCCCACTGCTACTGAGCTGGGCCGGGGAGTGAGTCTACCCATTGCTGGTTGTAGTGATCAATCAGAAGTGAAAGGGGTGGGCTGCCACCCTCCCTGGTTGGTGCAAGAGCTGGGCTTGAAGCTCCCAAGCCAGGACAATGGGTGCTGGAGGCCAACCAGAATCCAGGAGGTATGTGATTGTTTCAATCACCTATTTTTAAAAAGTATCTGTGGATAAAAAACCATGGTGCTTTATCTACCTTTACGATGTACTTAAGTACTAAGTACAGCATATTTGAAGCACTTAAGTATTTTGAAGTGCTCTCCCTAGTTGTACTTAACATGGGAACACTGCATGTGGAACTGCATTTCATCAGAGGGAAACTATTTATTGCCATCACTGATCAACCAAACCTTAACTGTTTTGCCCTCTGTCCAGCACTCCTCCATTCTGTCCGACACCCCAGTGAACTCCATTGGAACATCAGAGTGTTTTGTCATGGCTGGAGATACAGCCAACTGGTTGCACTTCCTGTCCTGAGATGTAAGGCTGCAGCCAACAGGTTATTAGAACAAACATTTACTTTAAAAGCTCATCCTAACCTCCAATGGGCAGCTAGAAAATGGAAGGCAAAAGAGTTTGTCTTTCAAAATGTAACTCTGAAGCACTGTCATTTACTATCTCTTTGTAGATTGACTAGCACAATGGACTCTGAACTGGCTGAGGCTGTTTGGCAATAAAAATGTTAAAGAAATAATAAAGAGGTCAGAGAGAGTAGGGCATCAGCAGGGAGAAAGGTTTGGGAATCGCTGAGACCTGGGGACAAGTTACAAACTTACCTAAAGATGCGATTGTAAGCAGCGTCAGGATGAGCTCCACCCTGACATCTGGTGGTGAGGTGTGGCAAGTTGTGGAAAAGAACTTCAGGGGCCGATCTCATTTGCATAGGCACACCCACCACGCCTAGAATGAGACCATAGCTGCCCAAATGGTCACTTTGGCTGCTGTGGGATCCCCAGTGTCTCTGTTATTGGGGCAGGAAGAATAAATTGTTATTACCCTGATTATGGGAACTGTGCTTGGAACTGTACGTGGCCTTTTGTTATGATGGAGGGATTCACCATCAACTAAGTAGCACTCGCTAGGCAAGGGTCATGGGTTCCAAAACTGTGTGAATGGAGAGAGGCTGGGGACAAGTATTAATACTTAGTGGCATAGGCCCCTTGGTGAGGGCTTTACATGCTAATTGCACTTCCTCCTCTCTCTACTGTGGACTATCAGAGCTAATTTTGATTTCATTAGAAGTCTAGTTATAGGCTGCTGAGCTCACTTTGGGCTGATGGTGCACCAGCACTGGGGCTCCCCTACTACAAGCTGAATTCACATAAGAGCTGAAATCACTGAGTGTTGTGTTAAGTAGTGGGGGAGCCTGAAGCTATATTGTGGAGCGGTTGGCGGGCCAGCTGGTGGAGCAGTTTGTGGATGGCAGGAGCTGCTTGTGGGCCGTGGAGCTGAGCGAAGGAGTTCGTGGGGCGGCTGGCGGAGCGGAGCGCTGCTATGGAGCTATGGGGCGGTCAGTTTCAGATCATGTAAGGTGCCTCTTACCCCCGTCCCATTTCCACCCAGGTTGGGAGGTAAAGCTCCGCAGATAAACTTTTGAACTCTGGGGCTGCCCTGACCAGGGACAGAGACTTTTGGGGCATTGGACTTTTGGGACTTTGGGTGATTTGGGGTTGCTGGACTCAAGAACCAAAGGGAAAAGGGCATGCCCCAATTTGCTTGGGGTGGGTTTTTTTTGCTCATGGGTTGTGTTATGAATCCTGTTGGTGGTGTTTCCCAAACATAATGCCACATTGTTTCTCTCTGTTATTAAAAGGCTTTTGCTACACTCAGACTATGTGCTTGCGAGAGGGGAAGTATTGCCTCTTGGAGGCGCCCAGCGGGGGTGGTATATATTTGTCCCAGGTCACTGGGTGGGGGCTCGAGCCGGTTTGCATTGTGTTATTGGAATGGATCCCCTAGATATTGAACCCGGCCCTTGTTGCTGCCAACTCTGACGGGCAGAAGGGTTACATGATAATCAAATGTAACCTACAAGTACAATGTGAAAGGATCCTTTTTCAAAACATGGAGGCCTATTTGCTTGAAGTTAAATGTGTATATATCCTCCTGACTGCAATTGCCCCTATACGGACCATAACCACACATGCTGTATAGTGGGTATATGCATGTGCTGGTAACCATTTAGCTGCGTAAAAAGACACAGGCACGCACAACCATCTGATCCGCATGTCCAGCTATGTATGGTAGCTGCACTTCCATTGCACAAGTTGCCTTAAGTGAATGAATGGACAACATCCCATTTAGATCATTGACTTATTAACCAGGACTATGACTGAGTTGTCACCGCCAGCAATTTTGAACATGGTGTTGCAAAAGATGTCATGAGGTCAGTGTTAGGGCCTAGTGAAATTTGCCAGTGGCACTCACCACCATATGGAATGCCACTCATTTTGGGGTTTGTAATAAGCTGGAAACTCTCTGAAAAGTTCACAAAATTTTTGAGCAGTTGTGGGCTAATTAA